ATATTTCTATTTCAATTGTAATATATGAATGTCATATCAATGAAAAAAAGAAGAGAAATTGTAACGCCCCTAAACCCGAGTCTCCCGTACTCCCCACAGTACCCAGTAATTAGTTATCGGTAGCGACCGACGAATGAAAAAAAAAAAAATTGATAAAGCGGCATTATTAATATACTTAATAAAGATAAAAATATATACGAAAAATGTGCAAACGTTTTATTTCTTGGGAATATATTAAAAATACAATTGGTATTTTTGATGTGCGTAGAGCTTATAGGGAGATGCCTTTAATTTGTGACAACCAACGTTGATCTATAGAAAGATAGTTGGAGTATCTGTAGATCTGTAGAGCAGTATGACATAGCATGCATAGAAGAAATGACTCTATGAGTGATATGAATATGATATCTTTAAAGATATACATCCATATATATATTTAATAACCTGGCCTAGAAGTAAGGCAAAGTCCAATTGGAAATCTTCAATTCCATTTTGAATTCTCAACAGAATTTTAAAATGTGGTGCCAATCGCTAATACTACTCACTAGTACCAATCACATTGACGATATGTTTGTGCGACTTTATTCTTGAATAATTTATATCGATGTGAGGCATTAAAATGCCTCTCTTGGTGCTATGTACACATAATTTATATAGTCTTAAGGCATAAATGTATATAATATATATATGTATATGTATATGTATATGTATATAGTTATATCGGAATACATCCTGTATATGTGGTATATGTATAGTTCGTAAAATTTCGTTGCTAAAGCTATATAGTTATAGGTCAACTCTAGTGCCTATGTTGTATATATAGTATATATGTATATGTATAGGTATGTACTGTTATATATATATAAAAGAAAAACATCTAGCAAAACACAGTCCGTTGTTAAGAGCGATATCTGTCTGTCTGTCTGTCTGGTTGCTGTTCCCACTCCAAAATTTATAGAGTGGACGAAACCATAGTTGATAGCCATTTTGTTAACCTGGCTGGGGATCAATTGGAGCTACATTTGATATACATAAATAAGATGGATAGCAACTATTGAAGTTGCCACCGAATAGACTGGAAGTCATAGCCAGTGGAACGTATGAAAGGACTGAAAGTCCTCGATACTGGAAGCACCATATTCAGCACTGGAAATTCAGTAAAAAGAAGACCTTGGAAGTATATAGTTGGCATGTTTTGGAAAGTTACTGAAAGAGCTTAGATAGCTTGGAGTTTCAACTTTTGAACGCTATAAGCTCTGCTGTAGTTGCACATAGCCCATAAAGCGACTGGAAGGCATTGGAAGCGTTATTGAGAGTCATTTCAAGTGCCGCAAATACTACTAATTGGGAATTATTGGAAAGTGACTTGATGAGATTGAAAGATCTTTAAGATACTGGAAGCCATTGGAGTTGGTAAAATAACGGCTGAAATTGATTATAGCCGATACGTTTTCGTTATTGGAAAATGTAAGTGTAGTGGAAGAGCAAATATTGCAGCTGGAAGTGATCATAGCTATTGGAAACTGACTGGAAATCACTGAAGGAGTGTGGATAATTCTGAGCTACTGGAAAATAACAGAAAACCAGGGAGCGCATCTAACAAATGAGTTTCGGAATTTGTAAGCCATTGGAAAGGGACTGGAAGAGCTTGGATAACATTGAGCTGGAAGCCGGGAAGTGAGCAAAAAGTTTCCAATTAGTGAGGAGAACTGAGAGCTCGTTCAGGGATACCTTGGAAACCGAGTGGAGAGTGTAGCGAGTCTGAGGACTGGGAGGGGGAATACTGTGTCGTCGTCGCCATCCTCTGGTTGGGAACTTAAGAAATTATTCCACACGGAATTATCACACATGCTTATGCCCTAACTAATTTAAAGCGATTCGACTTTGTGCAGCTGTTGGGCGCTCGGAGCCGTCGCTAGATGCGCAAAGGTCGAGTGGCTCCTGAAGTCCGTGCTCGTGTCCGTGTCCGTGTCTGGGTCTCGGTCTGGGTCTGGGTCAGGGACCATTTCTGCTCATCGGCGCTGGCGAAGATCAGGTAAATGAAATTGCCGGCAATATTGAGGCCAGCTGCCAGCCAGAAGACAATGTGCCACTGGGTGAGCGTCTCCCGATGGTTGATTATCAATCCGATGACATACGGCGCGAGGAATCCGCAAATGTTCGCCGCGGAGTTGGTGATGCCGTACATGGTGCCCGCATAGCGGGGACTGAGCGCAATGTGATTCATCTGATTGCCCGCGTAGACGGCGCCTCCGAACGAGCCCACGCCGGCCAGCATGAAGGTGACCCAGACCCAGTCGCAGCCCACGTAGATGATGCCAATCAGACCCAGCGACGGCACCACCGAGGCGATGCTGTTCCACAGCTTGTACGAGTTCAGCAGGGAGATGTAGCGACGGGCGAGCATCCAGTCCGCCAGGGCGGAGCAGGCGATGCCCACGAACCAGGCGGTCAGATACGGCACGGCATTGAGCAGGGCATTCGACTGGATGTCAAAGTGGAGGATGTTGCTCATGTAGGTGGGCAGCTCCGTTAGCTGTGTGTAGAACGCCCAGCTCTGGCCGCACTGCGTCAGCAGAATGGCCCACAGCGGAACGCTGCCGAGCAGCGAGCGCCAGGGTATGGCATCCTCCTGAATGGCCGCCGGCTCCGGCTCATCATGCTCATCCTCCAGGACATCCTCGTCCGCCACCTGCTGGTGATGGTGGTGGTGCTGGTGCTGCTGCAGCTGCTGTACGTGCTGCAGCGAGCGTTCGATGTAGGCGCGCTCCTTGCGCGAGATGCGCGGATGCTCGCTGGGCCGGTCGTACACCAGGTACATCCAGCAGACGAACCACACCAGGCCCAGCAGTCCAAAGATGTAGAACGCCGACGGCCAGCCGCCCAGGAACCTCTGCGAGCAGAGCCAGCCTGTCAGCGGCATGGAGATGACGGTGCCAATGTTGGAGCCGGCATAGACGACGGCGGCGAACTTGTTGCGCTCCAGCGGTGGTATCCAGTGGGCGAGCATCGCGTGCATGGCAGGATAGGTGACGCCCTCGCCCATGCCCTCCAGGACGCGCACCAGCACCAGCAGCGGCAGGTTCCAGTGTGCAGCCAGCGGAGTCAGCAGCGTGAATATCGCCGTGATGAGCACGCCGTAGCCGTAGATGCGTTTGCCGCCAACCAGCTCGGCCATGCGGCCACCGGGCACCTGGGTCAGCACGTAACCGTAGAAGAAGCTGCCCAGCACCAGGCCCTGCGTCGCCTCGTCCCACACGAACTCGCCCTCAGCGGGCGTGGACAGGGACTGCCAGAAGGAGCCGTTCGGCGTCGGAGCCGGCGGCATCGGGCACGTATCGTTGGCCAACACGGAGCTGTTGCTGTGCGGAATGGCCGTTTGGTTGACCATGGCCACAATGGCCACCGACAGATTCACGCGCATGGCATAGACAACAGCGAAGCCCAGAAAGCCCATCAGCCCGAAGATGTGACGCGACTGCAGCAGGCCGCAGCTGCTGCTGCCGCTGTGGTCCGTCTGGCCAGCTGGAAAAGCAGAAATGATGAATTGGACTCCAATATGACTATGCCAATTGGACTTACCTCGTATCAGCGGACGGTCGCCGTCTACATCGGCTTCGCAGAGCGCTTGACGCTCGTCATCCACTTCGGTGTCATCGTCATCCGCATCGGAGGCGCCACCAGCTGCTGCTGTTGCCACATTATCATAGTAGCAAGTGGCGTCACGCGTCTCATCTGTCCAGCGATGCGGCGGCATTTCTGCTTCTGTTGCTGTTGTTCTTGTTCTTGTTCTTGTTGTTGTGGTTGTAGTTGACTTTTCCAAAATCTAATTCTAATAATAATCGCCTTGAAATGTTTCGTTTTTTCTTTTACGCGCTGCAGTTATTAATTGGTCAATTGCCAGCACATTTTCTCTTTTCCGTTTTTCTTTTCCAACGGCAGCAGCAGAAACAGCAGCTCCAATACCAGCACCAGCAACAACAACAATAATACACATACGACCAGGGCCAAAGACAACTCACCAACAGCTGCGGCTGGCAGCGACTGAACCGTTTGGCCACCAGCAGCAGCAACAGCAGCAAAGCCAAAGCAAAGCAAAAGCAACAACTAAATCTAAACACAATAAAAACGATATATAACTGCTGTTGTTGTTGTGWCACTCTCTTGCTAGCGCGCGCGCTCTCTCTCACTCTCTGTCTCTCGGTTTTCCTCGCCTCTCCGTCTTTCAGTAGCAGCTTTGGCTTAGGAAAGCAGTGCAGCAACAACTCCAAGAAGTGAATGGTTACTCACACTCACACACTCTATACTCTCATGCTCGCTTGCGCTCGCTCTCTCTTTCTGTCTCTCTCTCTTCGTTAAGCACCAGCAACTAATACTTAGCCATTGTTTACATTTACTTTTACTTCCCACACACGTACACACGCCCAGCGATGTGTCAGTTTGCGCATATCTATGTGACTGTAAGTGCGCAATACGAAATGCATACATATGCATATTCATTAAAAGGGGCAGCCAATCGGGAAAAGTTTCGTTGTAAACTTAACGAACTTTGAATACGCTTTGCTCAATGTAATGTCATACACCTTACTAATGATAATGCTAAAGTTTAATTGTGTATTATCTTATATTATAAAGAATTTTGTCTTGTCATGTTAATTCATCAAGGTAAATATATAATACATATATATTTTTATACATTTGTAGATAAAAGTAAACTTATCTTATCTACAAGTCGAAATTATGGTATCGTGTGCTGTTTTGACTTTAGCACAACGCATCTTTGACATTAAAATGTATAAAAATCTTTGCTGAAACAGGTTCTCAGCAAATTCTTGCTTAAAATGTTAAACCTGCTCTCGTTTCATATATGTATATAGGTTCAATGAAAAATTATAAAACAGTTGACCCAGCTGCTGGCTTTCATTTCGCATTATTTGAACAATTAGCATATAAATAATTGTTATATTTGAGTGAGTCAACTAATTAGAAAGAAACTGTCAATCGGGCAAAGCTCCGATGAAACGCTTGAGGCATGTTAAATATATATAAATTTTTATATATTTAGGCAGATGACAACGACCTAGTTGAGCAAACAAATACACACCCCCTGAGCCGAAAAGAGTGTGAGTCGATGCCCATTGAAAATGTGGCCAAAGAAGTGGGGTCGATCTGTTTCTAAGCACGTTATTGGTTTGTAAAGTATCAATGATAGGTATTAGATATAAGTAGGCTATACAAGTTGATTAATTACATGTGTGTAAGTTTATTTTTATGTGCTACCTAGACGGTATCTGCTAGTCGGAATTTTCAGCTGTTCATTGTTAGAAAATAGAAATAAATGTATATAAAAATATGCCTACAGGGTATTGGCAGGTCCCTCATTTTTATCATCGATAGACGAAAGTATTTTGTCTACTAATTACAGAGTATATGCTAGTCGAGCATACCTGCTTGCAAATGCTTGATAAGAACAGAGTTAATCTGTTTGTGTTTTGTACAATGCATGTAGGGTATATGCTAGTCAGTCAGCGCCGCACGTACCAGCTATAACAGCTTAATTGTTGCTTATCTCATAAGAAACTAATCTGATAAGAAACAACTTCAGCAAATGAAATACAATTACATTTATTAAAAAAAAAACAGAAATTGGAATATATGTATATTTATATATGTACATATATACATTATGTACACACATGTATATACATGCTGGAGTATTTGGATGGCATTTCAATTGGCAAAGATCGTGCCCACTGCAAAGACAATGATCTTGCGCTTCTGATTGATGGTGAGGCGCTCGTAATGGTAGCCCTTATCGATTTTCACATCGGTGGTGAAGTTATCGCCCTTGGGCAGGATGGGCGTCAGGTCGACGTTGAAGCAATTGATCATGAAGATCTCGTTTTTGAGCAGGGCGCAGATCTCGTAGGCGCTGGCCACCTTCTCGTTCCAGATGCTGACGAAGCTGTACTTGATCGTCTCCTTCTGGAGCACCTGCGTGGCGTCCCTGGGCGTGCGGAATGTGTGCATGGTGATGATGCCAGTGGGCTCATCGCCCAGGAAATTGTCCGTCAGATCGCACACCAATGTGGGCGAGGCATGCGCCGGCACCACCTTCGGGTCACCGACAATCGTCTCGGCCTTGCACTGCGCCAGCTTGGCCTTGGAGCGCACGTAGTTGGGATGATTGTAGATCTTCGGGTCGAGCGGCTTCATGCTCCCGATCAGCAGCTCGTTGAACACTTCGCGCACGCTCTCCTGGATGAGCACCGTGGCCACCGCGTGCTTGCGGAACGGATCTTGCAGCGAGCTCAGCAGATGGTGCCGGGCGCTGTTCAGATCTCCCCCATCGAACACGATCAGCATGCTGGGCGACTGCCACTGGCATTTCGGCGGCTGCGGCTCGCCGCCGGCCGTCGCTGTCCCCGGTGCGGTTGGAACGGGCACCTAGATTCATAGGTAGATAAACAAATGTACATTCATGTTCTTAAATAAACTTAGTTTTGTTGGCTTACAGTTATTTCGCGCTTCTGCTTGCACTCCAGCTTGTGCACCATGTTGTAGCTAATGAAGGCTGGGGGCTTCGGCAAAATCGGCTTCCTTTCCAAAGTGACACTCAGATCTTCCACTTGAGGGTTTGGCATGGCGCTGTCGACTATATTCACAATGGGACCACAATTCACAGCGAGCGTTATCAGCAGTCGCACCTACTCCCTGTCTCTTTCACTCCTTCACTGTGTTCGGCTAGATAACCGTGTATGGCGGTGCCAGATCGTGGGATTTGGAAAAATTTAAATAACCGGTTCAAATTAACGTGTTGTGTTTGTGTAAATATCACAGCTAAAACTGACATTTTACAGCACTACAAAAATTGATTCAAATTTGAATTTACTGGCGCTGCAATTTATCATATGATATTTCAACTAATTTTATAAAAGAGCCAACTGAATTGCTGTTTTGGTCAGCTTATAATGATCTGAAAAATTCTCTTTCTGATCTCTCTTCACTTAATATACTCTGAATATAAATAAAATACAACAGTTGAAAGCATCGATGGTTTTGGCTAGCAACACAGCCAACTATCGATACATTGCACTTCTATCGCCCTGGCATGTGCGCTCGTTGTGCAGCACTGCTTTTGATTACGCCACCGCAACGCCGACGCCGACGTCGACGTCGCTGGGGGTCCGTTCGTGTTGAGCTGTTTTTTTATTATTATTTGTACACACACACACACTCATGTACATATTTATTTTTTTCACACATCTGTTGGTCGATTGGCGCTGCCCCATGCACAGTTCACATTCAGCTGCAAACTGAATAAGGTCGAGCGCTCTATTCGTGTGCCACAAAAATAAATAAATATTTTTTTTGATTGTTATTCATAAAATAGTGAAATAAAGTCAATCAACCAGTAAATGAAACTGCATAAACATTTTTTTTTTGTGTGTGCTATTCCCTCCCAGCTGATACGTTGCATTCGTTGACACTTGTGGCGCACTTTGTGCATTGTTGTTGTTGTCGTTGTTGATATTGATGGAATTTTTGGAAATTCTCCTAGTTGAATTTGATTAAGTGCTGCACTTGTGTGTTATTGTTGTTGCTATTGTTATTTTCTGGTGCTTACGCCCTACGATAAAAGCGGCTGCAATCGTTAAAAATAATTGTGCAAAAAATACAACAACAACAAAAGAACCGAGATTGAAGACCAACAAGTGCGCGGCTACAATTGCATACTGTCCATGTGTGCGTGTACGTGTGTGTGAGAGCGTGCGTTTGTGTATTTATAGCAGCAGCGTGTTTGCGTGTGTGCGTGTGTGTGTCAACGTGCCTGCGTGTTGGACTCTTTTTGGCAAAGTGCGTTCAACCAATCAAAAGTGAAATAGAATTTGACAACAACAGCAACGAGTAAAAAGTGGAACAGAACTAAAATAACGGAACAGCTGGCAAACAGGCAAACAGCGCAGTCAATAGTGACAGTGTCAACGACAGCGACAGCAGCAACGGTTGTTGTCTACTCCTTCTTCTATTCCTATTTACTCTTGCTTGGCAACAGGTGTCGACGGCTGCGCAGCTGCATTTGCTAAAGCGACAAAATGACCGATTTAAATGAACTCATGAGCTCCCAATTTGTGCGCGTCAAGGTAAATATGAATGGGCGCAACTGTGTGGGAGTGTGGGTGCTCTGGGGGCGTGGCAGCCATTGAAGCCAGTCAACAGCAGAGCAGCAGCAGCAGCAGCAGCATCAAATTCTGTGCTTCGCTCACTTAGTGGGCTGCGCCGGTCCAGTGTTAGATAACGCAGCTCAGTCGCTGCCCCCCGGCTGCAGCCGCTGCGCTGCCTATTAGCACAGAATGCAGTAAGCAGCGAGCGGCGAGCAGCGGGCGGAGTGCAGCGACGCAACCGCAGTTGCCATTCGATATGTTGGCGACTTTTGTGGCAGGCAATTTGCAACTTCACTGTGGGGCTTCATTTGAGCCGCTTATTTCATAGACAAGCTAACATTCCCCCTCTCCCGCTCCCTCACTCTGTTTGTCTTGCAGGTCGTTGCCTTTGTGCATTTCGTCTTCATATCGAATGCAATGCTCGGCACTTGGGGTCATGGCGCCTACGAGTTCTACAATTTCCTGTTCATCATCTCCATGTTCTGGGCGATACACAGCAAGGATTCCATTGAGGCGGTGCAAACGGTAAGACTCAACTCTCTCACACTCTCGCTCTCTCGCTCTTCACTTTCGCCTTTCGTCTAGCAGCGTTGCCACCCAGTTCATTCACGACTGACGCATACAGTGCGCCTTATCAGTTAGTTGGCGTCTGCATATGCAAAGCCGCTGACTGATAACAATAGCGAAAGTATCGCCCCCACTCTCGCTATCTCGCTCTCGCTCACACACATACAAACAGTCAACTCGCAGCTCATCAGTTTGCAATTAATTTAAAATTTGCTTTTGCGTCTATTTATTTTTGTTGTTTATTGCATTCGCTGCTGATTCGCATTATACATATGTATATGTATTTGTTTCCCTTATATGTGGGAACCGGTTCTGACGAAATCTGAGCATCCAATTAACATATAAACTCGACTCGTTGCTGCTATTCGACGCTAGCTAAACTATAAATACATAATGCTCTCAACTTCTGGTGGTGTCGAGCCGAGTTGTTTACACAGACCTCCTGCAGCGGACGGTGCTCGACTTAGACTTTTGGGAGGCACTGTAGCTCTGCTCTAAGGTCTCCGATCTTTTCTCCAGCTAATCTCTTGACCTAAATGCGGTTCGGCATGAGATAAGATTGTTGCGTTGCCCATTTTATTATGATTTATCTTTAGTTCTTATATCACTCAAATTTAAGTCAAAGCGAAAGAGTTGCCTACACTTAGATAAAACTATTTTGTATATCGAAGCTCTATAAGCTACGCACGCAATGACGATTCATTAGTTTCCATGCCAGCTCTTGAAAATTCTACTTACTTTTTGTGGATATTATGAAACAATATTTATAGTGCATAAGTATTCCAATATTTTAGTAAAATGTGAAAACAAAAACAAGATTTCGATTATATATAAAGAAATTGCATAATAGATATATAAATTATATAAATAAATAGTTCCTTTTTAATAGAGTAAATGCAATTCCCAGTATTTTAGTGCAACAGAAACTGATTTGATATTGAAACAAAACAAAGCATGATTCATGTTTACTTTCAACCTCTCCAATTGCAACGGCTCTTGTGTAACTTCTGATTCAGACTATTCCCGACTAAGCTGCAGATAAGCCATTCGAGTAACGTAAGCCCCTACAGAAAAGCACAAACACTTAGCAGTTCTTCAGTTGCACCATATGGGGGGTCTGTTGAGCAAGAGTTAAGACTCAACGGTAAATAACACGTGAAGCTATGCTAATTATAGACGCATTTGGTCAGCCGCCCCCGCCTTAGTGACGAATAAGGTAATGCTGCTTATAAGGCCCACAGCTATATCGTTTATAAATATACTATATATTATATATGTGCATATGTATTTGGCTATAGTTACTGTTACTATTAGATGCAAATCGGATAACTGGAAGAGTTGACGGCTCTCGCAGGCTGTTAGCGTGTCGATGCCCAAAACTCTGAGCCGATTTCAACTTTGACATTAGCCCCAAATGGGCAAAAGGCTCGTAATCCCAGCCTGCGGCTAGGATGTCGTAACGCACGCGATGCCCAATGCCACGCACTGCGCAAGCATACAGAGCTCTAGGGTGGGAAAGCGAACCCGACTAGCACATACCCTACAGCTCCAAGTCTACACAATGCCAATAGACAGAGCTCAAGTAGTGCTTAATGCAGCTCAATCAAGTAGATACTTTATAGTGCATTAGTGCATTAGTATATACTAAATATAGTTTTAATATGCATCTAAGTTTAAGCAGTAACTAAAGCAGTTATTGAGTTAACGTTTCAGATGAATGGGGTCTACCGAAACTATTAAGAAATTAGTGAGTTGACGGGTATATACCCGTTTGCCATCACGGTACAGGGGATTTGAAAATACAATTTCATTTGCGGTCAGTCACACGAAAGGCGCCCTGCAAATGGCTTCTAGTTAGGCAGCGGATCCTTTTTGTAGGCGACTTGGCCTGGGCCAGCAACCATTAGCCACGCCATTTAATCAACTATGCGGAGGGCAAACGTTGACCCCGAACCCGCAACGCACCGTCCCGCCCCCAAGCACCAAGTAGTGAAAGAAAAATATAAAAATATAATGAAACCCCCCAATCCGAGAAGGGAAGAAAAGGCAAGCATTACATATTTACGACTCAAATGAAAGGAAGGGTGGGGGGCTCTATGAATTGCCTGTCAATGCGAACGAAACCTTCAATTACATTTCTAATTTCTTGGAATTTTGAAGAGATTCGTGTATTTCATATAAAGCTGATTACAATGAAATATATATGTTTGCACATATAAATATTATACTCCTGTTGAGTGTTTCTTTTTTTAGTAATATTTACGCCAGCCCTAAAGTAGACTACTATAAAATTTGTATGGGAATTCGTGTAGATTTCTATTCAATTATAGTAAAAGTCTGAAATGAAAGATTGCTGTATGAGCTAAGCAAATTCTCGAATTCTCTCAAATCATTCGCTGTGAAGTAATAGGAGTAAATAAGCTTTAGCAAACCTAAATTAGAAGTATTATATGAGCACTATGCTAAAAGTAACAAATAGAGCTACTCATTGTGAAAGCTTGGAGCAGAAAACGAGGAACCATCAAAATTGCGGATACAGTCGAGTCTCGATAATTTATAATCGAATATTGAGATAAATCGAAAAATTGTATACCCTTGAAAAAAGTTCGTTTTAGATAATTCCAGATAATTTGAATTTCTATGTAGATTGAAAAGGAAAAAATTGATCACCTTGCCATATCGAATTATCGGGACTCGACTGTATTAAGAAAGCTAAGTAATGAAACGAGTAATAAGTAGCGAGTAACAAGTGCCGAGTGGAGGCACGAGTATTAAGGAGAAAAGATCTATTAAGCTGTAATACGACTGTGAAAGGATGGTGCTTAGAGTAGTTAAGTAAATGAAACGAGTAGAAAATTTCGATTTGAGATACTCGCTGGAAGAGATAGAAAAAGCAAAGCAGAAAAGTTTATTTTAGAGCTGAATAAAACAGCACGAAGACTTTCATATGTAACGAGTAGCGAGTAACGAGTAACGAGTAGCGAGTAAAGAGTAACGAGTAGCGAGTAACGAGTAACGAGTAACGATTAACGAATGACGTGTCACGAGTAACGATTAACGATTAATGAGTGTCTTTAGAGGCAAGTATAAACTGGTAAGGCTACTATTTCAGCCAACAGTCTTTAGCCTGGCAAAAAGCAGCGAGTGAAGTGCAGCGAGTGGGACTACTCGTTGCAGCTGGCGGTAATTGCATGCTGTCAATGCCATTGCTTTACACGGCGAAAGTGCAAATGGGCATAGCTTTCATTATTCAGCGAAATTGCAGACTTGACCCCGAGACACACCTTGGGCGGGCGTAAAGGTGTGTCCGGCTCATTGGCGTGAGTGTGCGACTGTGTCTGTGAGTGTGTCTGTGTGTGCGCGCGTGCTTTGGGCAGTTAAAGTTCACGCGTTCAAGGTGAATGCAATTGCCTTGACTTGAAAGGCGCCGAGACTCACGCTCTCTCGCTCTCGCGTTCCCTCGCCGACCTGTGACCTATGAGAGGGGCGAGACGAGGGCTATCAGCCAATGCGATCATCATGATACAATCTATACATTGCCCTAATCATAATGCCATGCATGTCTTCTATATCTTCCAGGCGCTTGTGATCGATGCCTTAAGCATATTCTTTGATATAGTGAGCATTATCATTAGTTTCGACTTTATGAGTAAGTAGCTCTAGTCCGGCTAGACTTTGCCTACGCACTACACCCATTGCATATACTATATATATATATATATATGTGTGTGTGTGTATATATCTCTGATCTTTCTAGATGGCTGGGCCGTGGCATTTACCATTATCAATCTCATATTGCGTCCGCTGAGCGTCGCCCTGCTCTATCGGGAGTTCAATACGCGCGGCGGCAGCCTGCAGAGCGGCTCCGTCTTTCCAACCAATCAGCAGCGCAGCTACCAGGACATAGATCGTCCCACGCAGCCGACACCGACCAACTCGCAGCCGGGACCCAATGTGGCGAGCATTTTCTAAGCTGGAGTCAACCTTCGGAGGCCCAATAGCAAGTCGAAAGCGAAAACTAATACGCCCCATCATATACTCCTCCGGGCAGAGAAAGCACGAGTATATTCTATTAAAATTATTATTATTAAAAAAGGAAAACTAAAACAATAAATAAATATATATCTTTTTTTTTTTTTGTTATGTCCTAGCTTTAAGAGAGTTACAGAAGAAAGTCTATATGTAGAGCTGTATGTGGTCCAGACAGCCAGATACATTTTGTTCTCTATTTCACTCACTTCAGCTATAAACTTTAAAGACAAAGTGTAACGATTAACCTATATATATGTATTATATATATCTATATGTGTAGTAACGCTAACAACATCCAAATACAAATATATATATATATATCTATCTCTATCTACATAATATTTAAACCAAAAAGAAAATAAAACAACAAAACAACGAAAAGGGAAAATTGAAATAAAAACAACAAACAATTCGATTTATAGTTTTTATATCTAGTATATAAGAAATTTGTGGCCTGACGCCTTCGTATACCTAAATAGTTTTTATTTGTTTAATAAATAATTGAAGTAGCGCCCAAAATATTGATATGTACAAGCCCGCAAAAAGTCAAATAGTTAAGAAAAGCGGAGAGTAGGGGGAGATCTAGTCGAGTGGGTCCGACTAAGAGATACCCTGAATGCCATGCTGTGCACCAAATAGGTCTAAATTCTCTAGCAATATCTCTCGGTAGATAAGAAAAATATCGAAAGTTATCGATCAAGCTCTATCTAAAATGGAAACTAGAAAAGTTTAGTTTATTTATCGATTCCTCGAAATTTCAAGGTCTATCTCAAATGGTATAGCAATAGAGAGAAACCCTTAAGCTCTCACAGGAGGACGGACGAAGCAGACGGATAGACAGAAGAACGAGCATATCTACCCTCAATACACACTCGCTATGGCTGCAGGGTATAACAACGACAGGACGAAAAAAAAAACAGAAGAGGGTGAAGTTAAATATGAAAAACTTTTGTGAAAGTTCCGCCTAGAAACCTTCTTTGGCCGCACGGAACTTATATTTATTGCTGCGTCCATCCAGGCAGGGCACCTGCACCAGGTTGAAGTAAATGGAGCCCATCAGCTGCGAGGCGGACGTGTTGGTCATCTTCAGGCACGAGAACAGCATATCATCGCAAATGCAGTGAGATCTATCAAATAGAGAGAGAGAGAGTGTTATGAATATAAATCGTGGAATACTCTAAGAGGCGCTTCCCTCAGCCGCTACTCACTTTGTGTAGAGCGAGTCGTTCATGAGCTCGTATTTGTTTTGGTAGGCGCGTATCTTGACGGGGCACAGATCGTGCTGGCGACAGCAGCGGTCCATTTCCATCTCGCTGCCCAGGTCGCTGTACGTTTCGGCAATGTCACCAGTGCCGCACCACTTGGTGCCTGTGTGAAAAATAATCGGAGAAACAACGAGTTAGAATGAGTTAGCGAGTTGCTTAACAAATATGAGGCGAGTAAAACTCAAAGAAATTTGTGATTAACCTTTACCATGGCTCTCTGGCAAAGCTGACGATCTGCCACTTAGCGAGAGGTGAACTGACGAGTGACTGAACTAACGAGAAGCTAAACTTGCTAGAGCCAAAGTAACGACTAACTAAACTGACGAGTTAGCTAGGCTGACGAGTACCGAAAGTACCGGAAACTAAACTGACGAGTGGACGAATTGACGAATTATTCAACTAATGAAAACTGACGAATAACTGAACTAACGAGTAGCTAAATAGAGCCAAGCAAAGCCGACGAGTAGCTCAAAGCTGCTACGCTAGCTAATTACTTAATCAACGAGTATCTAAACTAACAATAACAAAACTGACGAGTAGTTGAACTGACGAGTGACTGAGCAAACGAGAAGCTAAACTTTCTAGAGCCACACTAACGACTGACTAAACTGACGATTTAGATATGCTAACGAGTATCGAAACTAACGGAAGCCGAAGTGACGAGTAGGCAAATTGATAAATTTTCAACTGAGCAAAACTGACGAGTGGCTGAGCTAACGAGCGGACAAACATTTCCGAGCAAAGTCGACGAGTAGCTCAAAAGCTGCTACTCTAACATACTTATTAACGAGTATCTAAGCTAACGAGTCGAAGCTTACGACTGAGTTACTTAATCAACGAGTATCTAAACTAACGAGAACCAAACTGACGAGTAAATTGACTGGAAACTAGATTTAGGAGTATCTTTATCATCTTTTAAGTAAGGAAGTCAGTGTAGCTCAATAAGTAACGAGTGCGTATGCTAGCGACGAGTAGCTTAACTACTCGTTGGTTTCAGTATATAAGCTCCACTTGCTGCGCTTACCTGGTATGATGCCGCTCAGCAGCGAGAAGGGGCTGCGCGGAAAGATGTTGGCGGCCAGCTTGAGCGTGACGCCATCCTGACTCGCTGAGCCACCGGCACTGCCATTGGCCGAGACGCTAGCACTCGACTCGCTGCCGCTGCTGCGCTCAGAGCCCTGGTCGCTGGACTTGTACTTGAGCCTGGAGGCGTAGCTCAGCTTGTCGACGTGCTCGCACTGGTCCATCAGCTTGAGCATCTCCTCGAACTTGATCTCCAGCGGTCGATTGTACTGGGCGAGGCCGTCGAGCAGCATTTTGCCCTCCTTCTCGTTGCTGCAAGAGACGAGCAGAAGTGACGAGTGCTACCTACTCGCTGGACAGTGCTACTTACTAGATCTCGATCAGCTCGCAGCCGAGCAGCAGCTTCTGTGGGCCCAGCTCAGTGACGGCTATGGTCAGGTCGTGATAGTAAATCATAATCAGCGAATCGTTGCTCACGCGCTTTCCACTGCACGGCAGAGACAGAGAGAGAGAGAGAGAGAGAGAGAGAGAGAGTGAGGTAGAGGGAGAGGGAGAGTTAGTGTGTGAGCGGGCTTAATGCGTGGCACGCCTATGGGCACACGGCCAGCCCCGACGGGCAATACAATTATGGCCGAGGACGTGACTAGTTTTGAGTGAAACGCGAATCGACTTGATACGCTGGCGGATTATTAATGAATGCACTCACCTGTACGTCTTCATTTGGCGCAAGCTGCGCTGCTCGATGATCTGCTGGGTGAACGACTGGAACGAGGGGAAACCCTGCAGGCCGTGCGGCAGGCTAAACGACAGCGTTGGCTTGGCCAAGGCCACCGAGGAGCCCAGGTAGCCCAGCAGCGCGCTGAACAGCAGCGAGCCAAGCAGCTGCAGCTTCATGTTCTGGCGCATTTCGATAGTTATCCTCTCAATGGCTCTGTATGTGTGTATGTGTCTGATGTGATTTGTTTGATTGACCAGTTAAGATCGTCGCCTGATCAGCTATGCCAGCGGCATAGTCTTCCGGGCTGTGGCGCTGCCTCAAATGGGTTTGCTGTCGCCTGCTCGAAGCAAAACAAAGATTCAACTTTCTATAAATTGCTTTGGGCTGATGGCTGATGGCTTGTTGGCTTGTTAGCTTGCTTGCTTGACTGGCGTTCGGCTTAGACCGGCTGTAACTGTTTGGGCCGCGGCCGGCCGTCGCTCATGTTTATTATACCATATTTTATTAATTTCGAAAAAGTTCTGGAGGCCTGGCCCACTCAGCGCACTGCAGACAGCTGAGCGCGTTCACAGCGCCTCCTGCTGGCCGTCAGCTGGCAGCTGCTAGCCGGACGAGCCCCCGTGTCCGTGTCTACCCTTTCGCGTTCACGTGTGCTCAAACGCCCAGAATGCGGCAACGTGGCACTGGTTAAGTAAACTCCTTACGCTTTAGTCATATTCCATTCCGCCCGTTGCCTTGCCTAAGGCTAATTCTATTGCGTGCTGTTGTCAATGTTGTTCAATGACTGAGACTAAAGAGACGCACACTAGACGCTCTAGAGAGTCAAACACGCACGCACATGCATGCAGTCTAGAGACACGCACACACTCTACTCTATAGAGAGACATATACACTAGAGACATTCTGAGTTCTCTAGACTCTCTAGAGACACTCACCTACACACACCCACACATTCAGTCTAGAGGCAGATATACACACAGGAACAGACATACCCTCACACACACACATGCACTCTAGGCACATGTACCCTAAACATGTAGCTCAAGCACACATACATACACACATACACATACATACATACATACACACACACACACGCACACATACATACACACACACACATCCACATCCACATCAGTTGCATAAATGGTCATACGCTGCGTATACGTAATGCTGCATATTAAATCTAATTGCGTATACGCGACGTAATGCAACCAAATATTTACGCTTTGCCCATTTATTCCAATATGAAATATAATCGATTTTAAGTTTCAGCCCTGTGCTATGACTATCCCCAGTTCGTCTACCAATCGGTTCCTGGTATCAATTTTCTCAGGCAATTTCTAGCACTTCAAGTAAGACCTTTGCGCTCCAACTGGAAACTGAACCAATTTCTGCTTAAGCATGTAAAAGTCTGATGTATTCTTTTGCAGTTCTTCTCGCATTGCTCAATTAGTTATAAATATACCTCTACAACACATTATGCAAGCTGATTAGATCGATTTCAAAGACTTCCTCATTAGAATCGTTTCATGATTAATAAAGAGTCTTCCGAGTACATCTATCTACATAATTCTTTCACTTTATATGGCATCGCATAGCAACTGACATGTTTTGAGAACTTTAGACAATTCAAGCCTTGAAATACCCTTTATGAACGCACAGACGGAAAGAGAAGTGTGCAAAATGAATAAAGTTTTGGATTAGCTACTGTGCGACCTTGAGGCCCCTTGAGCTCATGAGCAGAATGACTAAATATTTCACGACACTATTCGAGAGCTTGATTAATGCATTAATTATTTTAGCAGCTCTTTGCTGTCTAGCCGCACGTGCACGACTAGCACTTACCCTTTAATCTATGATCTTTTAGCTGCTGAGTTCGCAGAGATGTGATATACTTTTGTAACTTATTCGTGCATCAGTACCTGGTAGCTCTCTTATGATTCACAAATTTGTAGATCTTTCAGGTTATATATAGAGAGATAGAGATATAGCTATACTTTCCATGTAACTTGTATGCTTCTCGAAGCTACTTTTACTTTTACTTTCATTTTCTTTCTTGCTCTCTTTCTCTCTCCCAGTCTGCTTATCCATCTATCTATCTATCTATCTACTTATGAAATTGATTTCCATCTATCTGTCAACTCATTTCTAAAACACTTTGTTATATTTACAGGGTATTTCATTAAAATTTCATTTTCATAAAACTCAATCCGGTTAAATTTATGTAAATATATCTCAAGAGCCATCTATATAAAATGATGGTGCATCTATATAAAATGATTTTTTTATCTCTTCGTAAGTAGAGTTTTAGTTTTTCCTAAGCTACTTTATTTATCTAACTTTCTCTCTCACTCTTTTCCTATGCAGATATCTTTCTGTCTCTATCTTGTCTTCCTCTATCTCATTTTCTGTCTCCTTCTATCTCCCTCGCTCTCTTGCTTATTTACTCTTTCTCTGTCTTTCCCCATTCTTTCTATCACATATTCTTTCTCTATTTTCCGCTCTTGTTCTCTGTCGGTCTTTCTGCTTCTCTCTTTCTCTGTCTATCCCACGGTCTTATAGTGTTGTTCAGTATCGTTCTCTCTCTCTCTCTCTCTCTCCCTCTCTCTCTCTGTCTATCTTTCTCTCTTTCAGCATCTCTTTTCATATCATCTCTGCCCCGCCCCATTTCTGTATTCCTCAGATAAGATTTCTATCATCTATCATCTACTCTACCTGCGTATTACGTGGCTAATTGAACTCACTTGGGACAGCTGCTCAATTGTGAAATTTTTCGTATTCCATAAAGAGGTGCGAGGAGGAGGGGCAGAAGTTGGAGGGAAAAGGCGAAATAGGTGGAGTAGGTGTCCAAAAATATATAAAATAAATGAAAAAACGAAATTCTCCACACGCACGAAACATGTTAATCATAAAGGTAAAAAAAAAAACACCTTTACGATTATATATAACATACATATGTATATATGTAGGTCTGCGTATGTATACACATACAAATATACATATAAAATATTGCATTGTTTTAGTTTTTATTATGATTTCAATTTTTGTGTTTTTTTGTTTTTTTGCTCTCTTGATTTTGACCAAGGTCCGCAACACGAAAGTTTACGCAAGCGGACAATGGTCAACTGACTGGAAGAGTGGGAGAAGTGAGAGCAGGGGGCAGTGGCAAGTGGGAAGGGAGAAGAGAGTGTGAGTTGCAAGGGAGGGCAGGCAGGCGAAGGCAGAGGGAAGAGTGCAGCGGGAGCTGCTAAAATGAAATGAAGTGAAAGTGGCTCTCATTGTTGTTGCTGCTGCTGTTGTTGTTGTTGCTGCTGTTGTTGTTGTTGTTGTTGAGTGATTTTCAGCGCGATTTCAATGTAAACAATGTGAACCGACATATGCAAGTCGTTGACAAATCTTCAATAGCTGCCAGTTGGCATTGGCAACTTGTTTCACGCATTCACGCCCACACACACACACACACACACGCAAGCACACACACACGCACACTTGATGTATTGGCCAAGCGCAGTTATCCAACACTTGACACCTTAAACTAAGACTAGGTTAATGGAAGCCAAGATGAGATGGGATTGAAACTGATGAAGACTTTTTAGATAACATGAGGAAATCATAGGGAAATCAGTCGTGAGAGAGAGAGAGAGACAGAGAAAGAGAAGAGAGAGAGGGAGAGGGAGAAAGAGAAAGAGTTAAGAATGAGAAAAGAGAGCCGGTGAAGGTATGAGATAAAAGGAAAGAGAGAGAGAGAGGCTCAGTTGAAATGAAAGCCAGCGAGATTGAGTGGGAGGGATAGAGACAGAGAGGGGGAGGATAGTGAAAAGCAGAGAGATAAAGATAGCGGTAGAAAGAGAAAGAGAGAGAGAGATAAAGATAGCGGGAGAGATAAAGAGGGAGGTACAGAGAAATATAGAATGGTGAGAGGCGGAGAGGAGAAAGAGAAGACTAGGGAGTAGAGACAGAAAGAGAAAAAGAGAGACTGAGAGGGAGAAAGAGAGAGAGAGAGAGAGAGAGACAGTGAGAGAAAGAGAGATGGTGAAAGCGAGAAAGAAAGAGAGAGAGAGACAAAAAGAGTGTAATACAAAAAGAAGAGAGAGAAGAAAGAAGGGACATCAAGCTAAAGAGTAAACGAACAAGGATAACATAAATGTAAGATAAAGGTAAGAGAGAAGACGATACAAAAGAGCCAGAGAGGATTGGAATGAAAGAGTGAGTGACAGAGTGAAAGAGAGAGAGAGAGAGAGAGAGAGAGAGAGAGACAGAAAGAAAGATACCAAGATGAAGATGTATGTATATTGAAGGAGCAAAAGATGCTGAGTAGCTTATCCAAGCTTTGGATAGAGCCTCTTAGAACGTTTCAAAATAAATCTTTGACACTTGCAGTGCATAAAGAAATTTAATCGAAACCCCAGCCGACAGCATCCCATCTGCGACAGCTGATGACGGGGCGTGCGCTGGCAGTTATCCGTTAACAAGATCCCCGATCTCTGTCTGCGGGAGAGATCTTCATTCAGAGAGATGATTGCGCAGAGCTCTAACTAGTTTCATGGCCCGAGGCTGAAGCTAATCTAATTAAATCAGAGTCTGATTCTGCGGCTCTCAGTGAGCTCATCCACCGACCGGATGCACTTTCCATCCAGCTGATACGATCTAGACGAGTCTGCTGAGAATCTGTGGCTCAGCTGATGAGTTGTTGAGTTGTCGAGCTGTCGAGCTGTTGATCTCGACATCATAATTAGATGCGCGTAAATCTCGTTTTTGGCCCACGTTTCGGACCCATTTGGGAGTAAACAATAAAAGTTCATAGTTGAGCGATTCGTGTTGCGATTTCCTGCTAACAGCCAAACGATCTGATCTATGGGAGCCGACAACAATCAGGAAATGAGTGAAACACAATGGCAGCAAGCCTTAAAGCAGTAAACCCAAATGCCAAAGCCACGTTGAGGCCCAAAAACGTATGCAAATCGCGATATCAAATTTGGGAATAGGGGAACTCAAAACGAAAATGATAATGAAAGAAATGAAGAAGTGTGATGAACTAAGAGATGCCCTTCATGGTTCATATCAAACTAATTTCGTGTATTAATATGATAATAATAAATATTATATTGTCAAGCTACCCTCGTATAGAAACACAGAGGGAATCTAGCTCTCCAGACAAGCCTAGATCTATCTTTGATCACAACTTCATCAGAAGATTCTGTCATACACTTACAGCGCTCCACAAAGCCTGAATAGATCTACATCGGAACAACCTATTATATTCAGAAATACATAAAATGCTTCGTGTTCAGGCGTAAGAAAGTCAAATTCTCTATGGTCTATTCATTAGACTATCTGTATGCATATATTATTCGAAAATATATATAGTATATCATTAGGTCTATAGAAACATCTATTCAAATTTCCTAGCCTCCAGCTCTTCACAATCCCCAGTTCACATAGACTAGCGTAGAGGTCAATTCCCACTAATGCAATGCTGGGTGCATGTCATGTTTTCAAAACATTTATGAACTCGTCACCTGAAACATTAACTACTATTTTTCGCCAATTTCAAGGGTAGTAAAACGAAACTTGGCCAACTTGAACATGGTTGAGAGTTGGGGGGGGGGGGGGGGTGGTAGTGGCTGTCATACAACTTGAACTTTTTGAAAAAGTGCAAAGCTCTGCATAGGCCATCAATAAAAACACAGTAAAAATAACAAATAAAAACAGGCAAATAGGGCTTGCGTCGAGTGTGCTCGACTAGTGAATACCTCGCCTCCGACAGTTGACAGTCAAACGTTGGGTGAGACTCCACAAGATCTTTACAGTCGAGTACTATCGATTGCTTGAACAGCTCTACTGTTGTTCCCTCACCTTATAGCTACTCCTATATTCTTAAGCTGTTATATTTCTGATATCTGATCAAAGAGTTGAACTGGAAAACTCTTTGATCAGTTATCAAAAAGATATCAGCTAAAGATTATAGGATTAGTTATGAGGATAGGGAACAGCTCTCGAGCATTTACCCTGGAATCGGCCTTTTATTCAGATTGCCCGAGTATCTAATGGGGCTATCTATATATAATTCTAATAAAGATTAATAAGTACAGTAGAAATTGCACATCTGAAGTCTTATTAGCTATATGTATATAGTTATAGTAATTCCCGATTTGACCCAGAAATTCAGCTCAGATATGATCGTCTTCACCTACTAGTTTAAAGCAGCTTGAACTACATTGCTGATAAGCTGATATACACCGTTTGTCTCAGTCGATGCGAATGGGCATATGTATTAACATAGGTCAGTGAGGCATGAGAGCTACGCGAATGGCGAAAAAGTAAAACTCGGCCGTGGGCGAAATTCGTTGACGTTTCGCCGTTGAACCGCTAAACTTGTGTTGCTTGTTGTCTATCAAGTTGTTGTTGCTCTTATCGTTGTTGTTGCTGCAGTAAAAGTGGCTGCTGCAGATGCGCCAACAACAACAACAGCAACAACAACAACAACAGCTACAGCTACAGCAACAACAACAGCAAAAACAAGAGCGAGTAGCGGCTCTTGGCTTGGCTCCCAACTGGTTTGCAAGTTCGCGGCTTTAACTTTCACATTGGGCGCACGCTTAATTGTGGGCTTTAATCTTGGTTAATTTGCTCCAGTTTTGATTTTCATTTAGTAAAAAAAAAACAAACACACAGCAGCACGCCAAACGCGCACGAATCGCCGATTAAAGCGATACTCGACGCCAACAGTTGCTGCTGTGGATGCTGCTGTTGCTGCTGCTGCTAAAAATGCTGTTTCACGCTGTGCTGAATGGGCTCACATTTTCACAGTCTCTTAGTCCCATTCTCAGTTTTAGTCTCACTCGAAGTATCTGTGCCCCCCCCCCCTCTCTCTCTCTCTCAGCTCCTCACTCTTACACTTTTTCAGTCTTCATCTTGGTTTTTCTCACTCTGTTTCCCAGTATTCTCAGTCTCTTAGTCTTTCAATCACTTTACAGCTTTGTCTTCGTCCCAATCTCTAGCTAGGTGTCTTTCTCCTTATCACTCTCCCTCTCTCTATTTGTATTATACTTAAGTCATTCATCTCTCAGTCTCCCTGTCCCTCCGTCTCTCAATCTGCTAGTCGCAGCCTTGCAGTCTTTTCTAGAGACTAAGAAGACTCTCCTTCTCTCTTTCTCTGTCTTTGCCTTTCTGTCTCTGTCTCACTCGTTCTCGGTCTCTCTCTCTCAGTCACTCTCAGTCCCTCCCTCTCTCTTTCTCTCTCTCTCTGATTCCTTCATTCACTCTCAGTCTCTCACTCTGTCTCTCTCACTCTCCGTCTTAGTCACTCTCCGTCCCTCCCTCTCTCACACTCTCTCTCAATTACTCTCGGTTCTTCCCTCCTCTATCTCTCTCTGTCAGTCACTCTCGGTCCATTATCTCTCTCTTTCACTCTCTGTTAGTCACTCTCAGACTAAAAGTTGTCGTAAGTCTGAGGGGTAGTCAATAATATAATAATCAATTCGTGAAATCCTCCAATCATCAACTCGCTGTTAAGAGAAACGAGTCCTCACTCGCTGAAGTGTGCATTAGCTAAGATCTTGCTACGTGATGATTACAATCTTTAGAAACTCATACTCGTATGCGCGTACACTCAGTTATTCTAAATTACCTCTCTTTATGAACTCATTTGTGCCATCGTTAATTAATAAAAGATTTCATCTACGTCACAGACGAATTTATAGCTCTTTTGAGTCGACTATAATGAAAAATCTTGATTGCCAATTGCATTTTCCGCCCCATTGCGAAATCTTTCTGCTTGACTGATCTATGCAACCGCTGCTGATATGGAATCAATCTGCAATTAAGCTATCATGATTAGATAAATGAATGGCTCAATTGCGTACTTCGTTAGTATTACACATGCCCAGCTCTAATTTGAATGCTTTGGCCTTCAGAGCGAAGCAAATGAACCAAAAAGTAAGCCAAGTCTCTCGTAAACCAAACGCACTATTACAACTCGCGGCTCACGCAAACTTTTAACCTTTAAACTAAACATTACAATTAGTCTTCACGTTCGCAAATGAGGTTAAAACTCAACATGTTTATGGCCAATGCACTGTGCGTCGTATCAAAGAGAGCATATCGAGGTATGCCTATGCATATAGATGTGTATGCAAGAGAGTTTTAATGGATAGTCATATCTATACGAAGAACATTTGCTTTAAGACTGATAAATATAGATACAAGTCTAGAGCTAGATATATACAAAATACAGTAGACGATATCAATATACGATAAAAAAAAAACCTAGAGAGATATACACGATATATAAAATAAGGTACACGATCTAGATATACGATATACATTATACATTTTACAATATTCGCTGTACGATTTACGATATACAGTATACAAAAGATGTTTTACGATATGCAATATACAATATAGATACACAATATACAATATACCATATAGATATGGACAGATCTTATTATGCATATCATCTTAAGTCAACGATGAGTCTGCCTATCTTTCACCTTCTTTTCAATCTATCTTTTAGAGCCTCTTTATTATCACAGTCTTATATCCACTTATAGATTAAGAGCTATAGAGCCATGCAGCTGTTGGGGTAGGGTATTGCCTGTTACAGTCTAGCTGAACTTCGCATCAAGTCGCTAATCATGCGAATGGGAATCGGGTTATTGGGAAATTGGGAATGATCATCATCATGTTGATGATAGTGATGCTGCACAGCTGAATGCTGAATGCTGATAACTGGTTACAGCCATGGCTCGTGATAAACTGTGATGAAACATAATGTTGTCACTGTTGTTGTCACTATTTTATTACTGTTGTTGTTGTTGTTGTTATTGCAACTGCCACATGCGATGTGGTTGACGAATGCAGCTTTGTGGCATTCTCCTACCCATTCCCAGACAATTGTCTCTCCTTTTAATACGCCGCTGACAAGTGTGTGAGTGTGTGCCAGTTTCAGTTTAGGTGAAACTCGGCCACAGTGCAGGCCATGTGTAGGACCATAAGAGCTTTGGCAGCACTTAAGCCACCATCAATTTATCTTGGATCTACATCTGTATCTTGGCTTTTGGCCAGGCCAAGTCAAGCCAAGCTAAGCTCAAACCAGCCACGGGGGAAGGGGTAGCAACGGTAATAAATCACACAAGAACTTGTTGCAATTTGAATTAATTATTTGCCATTACGTTTGCCAAGCGGTTTTTCTCTTAGTCGGTCAGTTTCACTTTTAAAAATCACAACAAAAACCAAAAAAAAAAAATAACAACAACAAATGCCGAAAAAAACTTCAAAAGTCCGAAACGCGAAACAAAACGAAAACGGAACGAAAAAACGCGAACTCCAAATCGCATGCGCACAACGAAAATTATGCGAACCGGACGCCGCCGCGCAAAGACAGCAACTGATTCGATCCGAAGCGATCCGATGATGGTTAGGCTGCAGCCGAAGCTGTTTAAGCCGATGCTCAAGCTGCCGCCGACGAAGTGGCACAGTGGTGCCCTGCACGACGCCAAGTGTGCGAAAAATAAAGACAAACCTTTTACACAAGATGGAAAACGCGATTATCTATGGCTTAAGCAAATATAAATTTAGCATACAATTCAGCTGAAATTGAATATTAATATACAAAATGTTATATAAAATAATTAAAATGTATACTTTCGCTGCGCACAAATAGACCACGTGACACTGTGCGGCATCAGAAATGTGTCAAAAGCAAAAGCTACGCTTCAATGGTCGCCGTCGCCGCTGCCGTCGCCGCTGTCAACGCAGCAACAGCAGAAGCAAGTGCTGCACGTTTTTTTCTTATTTAGTTTTTTATTTTGACAGCTCTGCATTTGTATGCGTGCGCGCGTGCGTGTGCGTGCTCGTGTGGGTGCAGCGCAAGCCGAAGCCGAAAGCTAGTGATCGGCTAGCTGCAGCCGACAGCGACGCCGACGTCAACATTCGCGCACTGCTTTATCGCCCATAATTTCACTTGAAGTCCACTTGAACAATGTCGCGACGGCTGCGTCGCGTCGCTGCCGACGTCCGAAGAAAAGTGACAGTGGGCCAAATGAAAGACAATTAAAGATGGGCGCATTTAACAGTCTGACCGAAAGTGAAGACAGCTATAAAGAAGAGGCGATAAATGACTGTACAATGCCGATAAATTAAACATTTACAAGCCCTTTGTTGCGAGCTACGCGTATCGGCTATTCGGCTGACTAAAAAGAAAATAAAAAAGAAAATAAATTAAAATAAAAGCGAATGTAGATTAAAAAGGAGAGTAAAATCGATTAAGATTTGATTAAAGTGAGCTCGAAGTCATCAATCTTCTTTAAATGCGAATAGTTCTATAGAGATTGAATGATATCTTCGATTTTCGAATTCGTTAGAATCTGTATTAAAGATGGAAGCAAGAGAATAAACGATCTTCAACGATTCAATCTTCCAAAAAAAATTGGAATTTTCAACTTGCTGTAAAATATTTACAAATTTTATATCTCAAATCAGATTGCGAATATCCAAGTTTCGAACTAAATAACTTTGAAGGCGATCCAATCTTCAAAGCTAAGGTCACAAAAGCTCATTTTCAAGACTTAAATTTTTTTTTATTTTTATGCTCTTCTTATTTTAGTGGTGTGGGATGGACGAAACTTGAAACAATATTCATTGGATACGAACTATATAATACGATGTAACGAAACGAGGAATACCGAAATGTTGCACAACGATTTGGGAACACGGGAACGCTAGATTTTTTTTTACGTGGGTGTTTTCTTGTTTTCTTAATTTTTTTTGAATTTTCATTAACGAGGATTCGTCGTTTCTTGATGGGAAAGACATCGTCAGTCCTCCCATTCAAGTTGCGAGTCCTCGCCGCTTGTCGACGCGGAGAGGACGAAGTCTGCACTCGAGCAAGTGCTGCAGGAGGAGTCATCACCAATATCTACCCCCTGTAGGGCTATGATCAGTTCATCGTCGTCAGATTTAGTTTTGGCTGGAGCCGGTCCGTAGACTACCTCATAGATGACAGCCTCTTCTTCGTCCTCTTCGGGAATGGTGGGCATAGCCTTCGGCATCTGCAGTCGATTCATGGTCAATAAACACGAGCAGATACTATTATGCTGCTGTATTATCTGTCGGAAGTTCTTCATCTTGCTGGAGAATTTATTCTTTATTATGAATTTTTACAGATCAACTGCTTACAAAACTAAAAAACCAACTGAATAATATTTTACTAGGCATTGCTAGACCCCCCCTCACTGGCTCAAACAGATGACAGCAAAAGCCAAGCACACTTCGAATTTTGGATGGTGTACGAAAAACGAACAAAGTGGGTTTTTCTCAAATGGAATGATGATGAACCAGTGTTCTGGTTGAGCCTGCTCGACTGCTAGATTCCCTGAGTTGGGCAACGAAATGTATTGCATACACAAGTTGGGGCTTTAATATAAGAACTTTATTGTTGAATAGCTTTACTTGTAGATGGACTATAATCATCACTTTCATAGTGGGATTAAGCTATAGCTTTCGCCAATATACTGGGAAAGGGATGGACTTTGGTGGCGGTATCCAAAATAACACAAAAATCAAAATTGTTTAGAATTCACATGAATTCCTAATTTGGGTATCTATCCTTGAAGCTGTTATCGGAAGTTATCGATTTTTAGAAACAGAAAATTTCAAATCCTTAGCTCCTATAGCCTCACAGATCAATGCACATACGGACGGACAGACGGATGGATGAACAGATAGACGGCCAGGGCTAGATTGACTTAAAAATGGGTATAAAATGGTATAGCAACACGTTCAGATTATAGTCGGGTTTTTATTATATTACAACTATTTAATATTCAGATCGATAAGAAAGTGCAATGTGGGTAAAAATCCAAGAGCTTATGCGTCCATAGTCATAAAGCCAAGTCTATGGTATCTCCTGCTTGACGATCCTTATGAAGTTCCTTCAGTCTACTGAATTGCTAATGTTAGGTCCATTCGAACGTTATATATACGAAGGCGAAAAGTTACCATTCAAAATAGATTCTCTAAATATTAGTCATAAAGATATATAAAACATATTTAAGACGTTGTTTTCATATATTTTTATTCTGAGATTTTTTTTTGAAATTGGGCATTTGAGCCGATCCCAATGTCAAATTGCTGTAGGCTACAATAGTGTTTAGTTAGTAATTATAAGTAGCTCTGTGTAATATATACACATATATACACACAGATGCAGATATAGTACTAGGCATAGGTATCGTTAGTTGTATTTTGTATATAAACTGCACTTATTTATGAAGTTTCGCTTCACGAATCACACAGTTAAGTGAATAGCAACTGCTCCTACGGACATTACAGATAAGATTAAGGTCTGGATATCAGATAGAAAAAGAGAGAATTATCCATCGAACTAGCTTAGAGTGCGCACCGCAAATTTACTCCTGCATGGGTGAGCGGTTGGCTAGAGAGGAGAAGGAGGGAATTTTCATGTTTTTGAATGAATGATGCAAATACTATTTACGTATTCATATA